AGGTTACAACATGCAGGAGCAGGCCAGGCACAAGGCAGGAACCACATCTAGGTTGTCCATGTGGGTGGCAGGAAGCAAATGCTTGAGCCTTCAGCTGCAGCTTTCCAGGTGCACTAGCAGCAAGCTGGATCAGGAGCTCCAACAAGTCAGTCTGGAACCAAGCATTCAAAAATGGGTTGCGGGCCTCCTAAGCTGTGGGTCAACCCACTGTGCCGAAATTCTTGCCTCTCAGATTTTTGCTTTATTAAAAAATATGTGCAGAGGTTGGCTTTGTGGAGCAGCAGGTGGAGCTCTGCTTGCAATTCTGGGATTCCCACATACAAGTGCCAGTTTGAATCCAGCTGCTTTTCCACCCAGCATCTTACCAAAGGAACTGGGAAAGCAGCAGATGAGGGCTCAAGTACTATGGTCCCTGCCACCCATATGCAGGAGACACGGATGGAGTTCCTGACACACCTGACGGCTGTTACCATTGGGCAGTCAGAGGATGGACAGCCTCTGTCTTTCCCTCCCACTCTGTCATTCTGCCTTTCAAATAAATCCTTTTCTTTTTTTAATGCATGTATATTTTCATAAAAGGCATGGGGAACTTTTCATGACCATTTTTTAAAGAGATTTATTTTTTTAAATTGGAAAGTCAGATATATAGAGAGAGGAGGAGAAACAAAGAGGAAGATCTTCTTTTTGACGATTCACTCCCCAAGGAGTTGCAACGGCCAGAGCTAAGCTGATCTGAAGCCAGGAGCCTGGAGCCTCCTCTGGGTCACCCACATGGGTGCAGGCTCCCAAGCTTTGGACCATCCTCCATTGCTTTCCCAGGCCAAAAGCAGGGAGCTGGATGGGAAGCAGGGCAGCTGGGATGAGAACCGGTGCCCATACGGGATCCCAGCGCATTCAAGGTGAGGACTGTAGCTGCTAGGCTGCCGCACTGGACCTTCATGACCATTCTGATGACTCTCATCTAGGACTCCTGAAATTTGGTCAGATGATCCTATGGGTTTGTAACATCTCTTTCCCTGGTAGGATCAGTGTTTATTATAGTAACTATTCTTTGTTTCTGGGATGAAGCTGATTATTACTTTATTTTTTTTTTTGAGAGAGAGAAGCAGGCAGCTTGTGTCACTGATAACTCCTTAAGTGCTCACAACAGTCAGGCTAGCTAGCCTGTGCTGAAGCCAGGAGCCCAGAACCCCAGCCAGACCTCCCCAGGGAGGAAACTGATTAGCTGAGATATTACCTGCTGCCAACAACTCTTCAGAACTATCAAAACTATTCAAGCAACACTTTCGGAACACTCTTCACCACATCATCATATGACTGCACCCCTTCTCTAGGTGCTGATGTAGTGTGACAGCAAGGAGCAGCCCTCTCCCCATGCTCCCCTGTGGACACAGAAGAAGAAACCAAATCTGAACCATTTGTCCCACCCATCTTCTTGTACCTGACCCTCCCCACCCTAATCACATGCCAACATGCATGTGTATCCCGCTCAACTATGAAAACAACATTAAAAAAAATTTTTTTTTAAAGAAGTAAGCTGGAATTGGGGAGCTGGAGGTAGGATTCAAACCCACGTATTCTGATAAGGGAAATGGGCATCCTAACCACTAGGCGTAACACTTGAGCTTCATCGTTTCTTAATGTTCACTGAAGCACCTGTGTTGCTGGCATCCCATATAGGCACCGGTCCCAATCCTAGGCTTCCACTTCCAGTTGAGTTCCCTGCTGTACATCTGGGAGGGCAGAAGGTGCCTGGGCCCCTGGCACCCACGTGGAAGACCTGGAGAATTAGTGGGTCCTGGTTTTCGCCTATCTCAGCTCTGGCTGGCCAGGTGGGGAGTAAACCAGTGGAGAGAAACTCTGCTGGTTTGCTCTAACTCTGCCTTTCAGATAAACAAATACATCTTTAAAAAAATTCACATTGGTGAATGTTTTTCCTGGCAAGAGTAAACTTCAATCTAATAATGATAATGTGATAATCAATAAAATGCAGCAATATCTCAGCTAAGCTATAATTTTACCTTATATATACCACAGACAAAAATGAAAAGATCAGAAACAAAGAAGAGGTTGTGGTGTAGTATGCTAAGCCTCTGCCTGAGCTCCTGGTTCAAGTCCCAGCTACTCCATTTAATGCAGCTTCCTGCTTACTGCCTGGAAAAGCAGGGTAAGATGGCTCAATTCATTGGGTCCCTGTACTCATGTGGGAGACCTGGAAGAGGCACTTGGCTCCTGGTTTCTGACCTGCTCAGCTACAGCTGTTGCAGCAGTTTGGGGAGTGAACTAGCAGATGGAAAATCTCTCTGTCTCTCCTTCTCTCTTGGTAATTCTGTCTTTTCAATAAAAATACACAAATCTTTTCTTTGTTTTTTTACAACTCTCATTATGAATCTTTTAAGTTAATCCTGCTAGTTTTTGCTATCTATATTTTAGGCACCATAGGAAAATGTTCACAGTGACTGAAATTTATAGTACCAATCCTAGAACAAACAGTGTTCGGGGCTGGTGCTGTGGCATAGCAAATTAAGTCAGTGCCTATGGCATGGACATGCCATATGGGTGCCAGTTCCAGCCCCAGCTGCTCCATTTCCCATCCAGCTCCCTGCTAATAATGTACCTGGGGGAGCAGCAGAGGGTGACCTAAGTGCTTGAACCTCTATACCTACACACACGAGAACCACCCTAGCTCCTAGCTTCAGCCTGACCCAACCCCAGCCATCACAGCTGTCTGGGGAGTAAACCAGTAGACGGGTGATGTTTCTCTCTTCCTCTGTTTCTCCCTCTCTATAACTCTGCCTTTCAAGTAAATAAATTATGTATTCCATTTTTTTTTTTAGGAAAGTGTTCCTTAACCTTTTCTGAGGTCACATTACTTGCAAAATAAGATTTAAAAAGTGTATTTATCTACCCAACATTTTCATAGACCTCAAGTTGACCATGGACCCCAAACTAAAAAGTTCTGTAACAGGTACCAATAATGGATATTTTAAGTCACAAAACTTCAGATTTTATTAGGTGTTTCTCCAATGATTTTTTAAAATGATCAGCTGGGCAATATTATAAGTGATTTAAGAAGATCTTTAAAGCAATATTAACAGCTGCAGTTCAGAAGTAAAAATTCTTGCAAATTTCTTCCCTTGATTTTAGCCAAAAGTCAGATAAGTAAACCACAAGTCTCTTTAACTAACAAAAGACAAAAAATAAAAAATATTCTACAAATTCTTTAATGTTTGTCTAAGCAATAAAACTCAGGATAGCAAATACACTTTCACTAAGTTTAAGATGTAAGCAAAGTCTCAAAAATGACCTTGGTACTACAGAGAGGAAACATCATTTTTATAGTGGTTATCAGTATTACTCAAGGAAGTGGACCTGGACCCTATGGATGGTTTTGTCATTTACCAGCTTTATAGCCTTGTGTAATCACTTAACTTTTCTCTTAGCTTTACTACCTACAAATAGAACAAATTAGTTCACAGAGCTGCAGTGAGGATTAGATGAGATAGTATATATTACACTCTTTTATCTCAGTGACAACTGGTAGACAAATGGCAGCTACTAGTTAAATTTTAAACACGAATTTCTCACTCAACTTAAAGTAACTGGCATGCTACCGGCTGCTTCTGTATCCAATTACTCTACATACCTGTCAATATCTCCTTTTTAAGGCTGAAATATCCCACTACATGTACAAATAGCATTTTTAAGTACTATTAACACCATTCATTTGAGATGGCTATCCTTTCTCTTCCATTCCATTCTCCTGCTTCCCTGGCTTTTAAAGGAAAACTGGAAGTAAAGCAGTCTATTTAATTGTGTAGAATCATACTACATGGCAGTCACAACACTTTTCTTTTTTCCTTCCCCCTCCTTTTTTTTTTTGGTAAACATTTTTACGGTGTTAGATCACGAACCAACACAAAAGAAAAAACTGAAACTCAAGTTTAATTTGATTGCGGGAACAAATACCTTTCCTGTAAAATTAAAATAATAAATTAAGTGTAAGATCACATATAGATTACATGCTATTCTCTGGACCTTTAACAAGAGATAACGGAAAGTTTCAGCCGCTGGACATTAAAGAAGTTCTTGAAGGGCTGGACTGGGAGGGAGGCGGCAGCTTTGCTTAAGTGCTGGGAGTCTGGTAAAACCTCAGCAGATGACTGCTCGGAAAACACTGCTGCGGGAGCGCCAGCACAGTACGGCACACTGCTGCTATCTCAGGTAACCTTAAACCACTCCAGTGGTTCTAGGATAAGGCTTCAATAGGTGGAGCTCCCCTCCTCTGAGCTTTCCAACTGTGAGGTGAGATGAACCACAAGCTTCAGCAACACAGCGCTTAGGGATAGCTAAACCACTGTGGAAGGGAATGGCAATTCTAGAGATTTCAAAAAACGGTGACGATAAAAGGAAGCGTTTCAATCCTGCACTACAGTCAATGAAGGAGTGCATGCAAGCATAGCGGTGAGCGCGCAGTAAGTAAGGTGGAGATAAAAGGGAAACAGCTAAATCGCTCTCAAGTCTAGTTCTCCGAAAAATTCCCGTGAGGAACGGACTGCTATTCTTTGTGTGAACGACTTCCAACTTAAGGTCACGCACAAAATTCCCTCGAAACAAACAAACAAACCCCTGCACACACAACAAAGAAGGAGCAGCAGGAGCCACAGGGCGTCCCTCGCGTTTCCGGCCGGTTGCCCGACTCCACCGACCACCTTTCACCCGGGTCTCGAGCTGTCACCCGGTCACCACAGACTTCTCGCGGACAACGCCACTTTCAGAGTCTCTCAAAGTTTACCAGGCGTTCTCCACTCCCATCCTTCCACCCCGGGCGGCACCTTCTGCTCCCACCCGATCTCTCACCCCCCACCCCGGTCGCCGCGAGACTCCAAGCACAAGGCTGCACTTTCGGCCCCGCCGGCTGGGCTCGCTCCACCAGGATGCTGGGGAAAAGCAAACTTTCCCGGCGTTCGCGTAGGCGGGAGGGCGCCCAGCGGACTCACAGCTGGTTGATGGCGTTCTGCGAGATCACCGCGTTGGCAGAGAAGTAAGGGATCATTTCGGGGTCACGGGGACTACAGGTGCAGGACGGGGCGCCTTGGTCTCGCGGGTCAACGTGCTCAGGGTCATGGAGGCGGCTCAGGGCGCCCAGCGCGGCATGCTGGCCCCGGTCCGGCTCGGGCACCGAGCGCTGGCTGGGAAGTCGGCGGGCCGGACGCGCGGGCTCCCGGCGGCCGAGCGGAGCCGCCGAAGCCCCGGCCTTGGGCTGTGCAGTCTGAGCCCGGCGCCGGCAGCAGCCCTCCTCCGCCCGCGTCCGGGGCGGGGCGCCGGGGCCAGGGCGGAGCGCTGAGGCGCGAGGGAGGGGTCGGCCGAGGGTGAGCCGCAACCCCAAAACACCTTTGTTTGGGTGAGCGAGTGAAGCCAGTAGGAAGTGGGCGAATGAGGTGGGCATTGCCCAAAGGAGGACTATTTCAGCTGAAGAGTTCTTGCCTGTTAAACGGCTCCATACATTGTGCTTTGAACCAACCCCCTTTAAAAGGCGGTCTATTCCCAAACGCAACAAATACTAGCCGCTTCCTTTGTGCTGGAGGAATTTAAGCATTAGCTAATATAAAACATATATAACTACATATATATTAAAGATTTTTTTTTTAAATTGAAAGACGGAGTTAGAGAGATCTTCCATCTGCTGGTTCACTTCCCCAATGACCTCAATGGCTATGACAGGAGCTAGGAGGTTCTTCCCGGTCTCCCACGTGATTTCAGGGGCCCAAGCACTTGAGTCATCCAATGGTGCTCTCCCAGGTGCATTATCAGGGAGCGGAATTGGAACTGGACTCCGATGGCATGGCACTGTTGGGCAGTGGCGTAATGGCAAGGTCAAGGTATAGGCCCCTAGTTTTTGTCTTAACAGTTGAAGATATGAATGGGGGTATAAACCCCTCCTATTTACATCATCAGTAACATCTCCCAGCCTTTGTAAATCAGTTTTTAGAGGCTTTCCTATCATCCTCCAGATCAAGGATTCACAGCCTTAGCTGCCTATAGGAATTACTTTAAAAGCCCAATCCCCTCTCAAGGGCAGGATTTAGACCTGAGTGTTTTTTTTCCCCCTTCACCAGATGTATTTATTTGAAAGGCAGAGTAACAGAGAAGGAACATCAGCAAGAGAGAGAGAAGAGTGACAGATCTGCTGGTTCATTCCTCAAATGGCAGCAACTAGGTGTGTGCTAAGTATAAGCCAGCAGCCAGTAGCAGGGACCCAAGTACCTGGGCCATCCTTTGATGCCTTCCGGGAACACAGCAGGTATGCTGGATGGGAAGTGGGGCAGCTGGGACTCAAACCAGCACTGGGATAAGGGATGCCGACAGTCCAGGCAGCAGCTTAAGGTATTACTGTACCATAACACTGGCTGATTCGAGACTCCCCAGGTTGAGGATACAGGGTAGAGATTATATTCTCACTTTACACTTGTGGAAATGGTTATGGTCTAGGGAATTATGTCATCCAGACAGGGACTGACTCCTGACCCAAGTACCAACTGGTATTCCCTTATCTTCTGCTGACTTAATTTACCATATTGCTTCCAACTCACCTGAGCAATGCCTTTCACCTGAACAGGAACCAGCGCTTGGTGAAAAAGAGATTTTTTCCTGTGTTTTTTTTTCTTTTAAGATTTATTTATTTTTATTGGAAATGCAGATTTACAGAGAGAAGGAAAGACAGAGAGAAAGATTTTCATCTGCTGGCCCACTCCCCAAGTGGCCATAACAGCTATCTGAAGTCAGAAGCCAGGAACTTCTGGGTCTCCACGTGGGTGCAGGGTCCCAAGGCTTTGGGCCACCTTCTGCTGCTTTCCCAGGCCACAAGCAGGTAGCTGGATGGGAAGCGGGGCTGCCGGGATTAGAACTGGCACCATATGATATCCAAGTGCCTGCAAAGTGAGGATTTAGCCATAGCACCAGGCCCTCCTAATTTTTTCCCCCTTGTATAATGTGTAGTGGTGTACAAAAGGGCTGTCAGGATGCAGACACTCCATTAAAATCAGCTTCCTTATCTCCTGTCCTTCCAGCCTCATGATGCAAGGAATTCCTATTTTTAGCCATTTCTGACTACTGGTCTAAAATGAATGACTCTTTTTAAGAATTCTAGAGCCAGAAATGGAATACTCATCAATTTAAAAAAGGTACTCCACTGACCAATCAGCAGAGAAAACAGACTGAAATTAAGGAGTCACTTTAAGACTCAGCATGCTGGAATCAAGAAAAAAAAAGGGAAGTTTCCAGATTTTAAGTCTGTTGGGAACGTTGGCAATTTTCAAAATACCAGTAATAAAATAATCAATTCAAATGATAAATTCTGTGTCTAAAATCAGAATCACATTTTGTTGGTGCTGTTGTTATTAGCTGATCCTCCCATAAAGCTGTTGCCAAAACACTGATGAACTTGAAATGTTGAAACTCATGCTGGGGGAAGATTTTAAGTTTCCTGGAGATCTAGTATCAGGAAGGAACCAGGGGGCAAGTGAAGAGTTAATGGAAACATTGATCTAAGGGTTCATCATCTTCATCTGTCTCGAGGAAGGAAAATGTTTGAAAGATTTATTCAGGCTGTGTCAGCAAATGGCAGTGTGAGAAAAAAAAAATTTGCTGATACACCCCAAAATAAATTGCTTAAAATATCTGGCAAACTTGCCAGTTTGGAACTCCTTCCAGGCTGTAATTTATTACAGCCTCCTGCTGTGATCAAAAATGGCAATAGACACTTTAGGATAGTGCTATTAAGGTGAGTCCAGTTCCTTTCAAGACACTGCAGAGATGGGATCTTATTGAAGTCAACACTAAATGATACAGTTAGGAAAGATTATGGCAGTGGTAATCTTTTGTGTCTGTCTGAAAGTCAGCAGGAAATGTATCTTAATTCAAACTTAATATCTCTTGTAGTTAAAGACACTAGAGGTAAAGATTTTGTAAGTGTGTATACTTGTCTTTTATAAAAGTTTCTTGGGGCTTGGGTTAAGTGGCCATGTGCCACATGGTGGCATCCCATAAGAGCCAGCTGCCCACTAAGGAGCCTGGGGAAGCAAAAAAAAAAAGAAGAAGATGGCCCAAAGTACTTTGTCCCCTGCCACCTGTGTGGACAACCAGGATGGAGTTCATAGCTTTTGCCTGGCTCAGGTGGTGCTGTTGTGTATATTTTGGGGAGTAAAACAGGGGATGGAAGCTTTTGATTTCTCTCTGACTTACAAACAAAATAAAAGCTTAAAGAAATAAATAGTTAAGTTCCTATAGTGATGCTCCAAAGTATATAATCTTTTGGTTTCCTCTCAAAATGATCTCATTCAGCAATGTGCCCACTCAGCCCAGGAAACTGTGTAATCACCCACATCCACATCTTTTAAAAAGCCTTACAAATTCAAATTTTTCCTTTCCACTGTAATATAGGAAAGTGCTAAAATATGCTTCTCTTAATATTTCATTTTTCTAATTGTATAAATTTTATTTTTGATAATTTTTACATATTTGATTAATGTGCAAAGGGTCAAGGGCTAGAGGAAAGTGGGTAAAACCATTGTTTTGACATTCTGTTTTTTCCTTCCTATAACTGGGGACAGGAGGGAGATAAGGGGAGAAACCACACCTAACCTCCCAACCATCCAGGGTCCCCAAGTTGGGGCATGCTCCAAGGGCACTGCTCAAGTGGTTTTGATAGCTCAACAACTCTGTATTGCTGCCAGTCTTGCCATTCCAGTCACGATGAAATCTCTCCAGACTCCACTGGCTGACATAGTCACCTTACAGTCTCTGTTTGCCCAGGTATTCACTGCCAATTGTTTGCTGAGGTAGTTGAACAATTTGTTTTGTCCTCCATCTTCTATTATGGTACCAGGTGTCCTCAACAGGCTCTAATGTATTGCCATATCCTCCATGTGCATTTGGATATGCTGTCCACTGCTCTAAGACACTGAAGAGGCCCAGCTCTTTCACATGTATTCCATGGTCAGGCCATGGAACATGCAATTTCCTCCATGGTTGAAGTTCTAAGTGCAGCAGTTCAGTTGGCAGGGGAGATTCTCAAAGAAACTTATCTGAAGTGATCCCAGATCTGATTATTGCTGTGAATGCCAATACAGGGTCCAGCACCGTCCGTTGCCCAAATCGGCCTATGCGCACACTGTTAGTTCTAATTGCTGCGTCAGTTCTGTTTCCAGCTCTGTCTCCTATGCAAACTAATGGGTGTTGCAGTCCAGCCTGATCCTGCCCACCACACATTCAACCCCCACACAAACCAGTGGGAGCTGAAGCCTAGCTGAAGCAACACACAATAACCCCTACCAGGCCCATCTCCTGCCCTGGTTCCCGAGCTTACCAGTATGTACTCTTTTTTTTTTTTTTTAAACAAACAAACAAAAAAAGTAAATCACTTTTGTAAACTGGGATAGTTTCAAGGAAATGATCATTTCTTTGTTTTTAAAAGTTGAGCCAAATTCCCTCTTCTTTTCAGAGTATCAAAATGTCAATCAATGTAGTTTTAGCTCAATTTAATTCTTTATTCTCCATTGTCAGGAAATAAGGGTCTAGGGAGCAAGCTTTCTGCACTGAAGCGTCCAGGAATTTAAAACTGATTCTAAACTAAATTGAGCAGAATTCGATAAAGTAAGCTTTGTACTCCACCTGAAATCAGAGCGGCCTTTCTCTTAAAACTGCACAAAGACCTTCAAGAAAAATAACTATTTCTTTGCATTCTCACTTGAGTTGGAAGATTTGACATGTCTTTTGCTGACCACTTCAAGACTCAAATATATGACTGATCTAAAATATTGGCTGTTGACAACATTAACTGTGATTAGGTTAATCTGCTTATAGAATTAGTGATCAGCATTGTGGGTAAAGCAAGTAAACTGCTGCCTGTGACACTACCATCCCCTATGGGCATTGGTTTGAGTCCTAATTGTTTCACTTCCAATCCAGCTCCTTGTTAACTGTCCCAGAAAAGCAGTGGAAGATGCCCCCAGTGCTTGGGCCCCTGTGCCCACATGGGAGACCTGGATGAAACTCCTGGCTGGCTCCTGATTTTGGTCTGGCCAAGCACTAGCTATTGGGGCGATTTAAGGAGTGAACTAACACATGGAAAATCTCTCTCTCTGCCCCCTCTCTCTAAGTCAGCCTTTCAAATAAAAAAAAAATCTTTAAAACAGTTTTATGTGCTCAAATATTAACAGTCTTAAAAAACATTAAGTACCAGATGTTATTGTATCTGTAGAGTGCTTGCATTACTATGCATTTGTGCATCCCTCCATAAGATAAAACCATTACAAAACAGTGAACACTGGAGACTTACATGCTGACTTAATTGTATTGCAGGACAAACCCGAAGGTACACAAAAATGTGAAGAATGTGGACATGCTGTTATGAAATTTCAGTATTGTAGATCACTTGAACTGAGGCCAAAAGCAGTGAGTTAGAAGCCAGGGGACCTGAATTTATTTATTTATTTGAAATGTAGAGACAGAGATCTCCTATCAGTTTGTTCTTTTCCCTAAAAGTTACCAAAAGCTGATCCGGGCCAGAAGAAGCCAAAAGCACAGAACTCAATCCAGCTCTGTGGTGTGTGTGACACTGGAAGGCT